CAGTTTGAGAGGCTAAGGCCAGAGGATAACTAGAGGCCGGGAGTTCAAGACCAACCTGGGCAACATAGTGAGACTCAATCCCTACAATTTTTTTTAAAGAGAAAAAAGCCAGTTGATTGAGGTGCTCTGATGAGATCTGTGGACTCGTTCTTTGAACCTACATTTGTGTTAAACAGGAGCTTCCAGCTCTGAGTTCTTGGGCATAGGCTGATGTGAGTTCACTGTGGATTCCTGTGAAGTGTATTACTGCAGGTGACCAAAACTGGACTCCGGCTGAGGTATAAGGGCTCTCCCTGAGATATGAATGCTTTACTAGTTGTTTTGTGTCAGGGGACAGCTTGGCAGCTCCTCCTCTGTAGGGTAGCCTCTCTCAGAACGGTTGTATCTTGTCATCAGCCCTTTCTGTGTCGTGCCATCTCCCGCATGGCCTTGCCATGAAGAGACTTCCTTTTGGGTACCTGGGGCAGACACTGCCATAACCGCAGGCGTCCTTTGCTGAGTGCTGGTTGTGGCGAGGAGCCTAGGCCAGCCGACATGAGTGTGCTGGTGCTCCAGGATTACGCTGGTTGACCAAGCTGGTCAGCAGAAACATTCCTTAAAATACCCCAGGGGTATGTTTTTATTTTGTATTGTTTGTGAAATGATAAATATTTGAAAACATGGATGCCAGAAAAGAGATTTCTATGACTTTTATAAAATTGGCCATGCCACAAGTTAAAAAAAAAATTAGTTAAAAGACTAGAAATTATGGTTACAAAATATCTTCGCTAATAGTTTACTGTGTGGCTTGGGTGATTTTAACTTTAAGGTGTGGTAGCTCTGGAAATTTATCGTGAGTCACTACATAATAACCGGCTACACCATCAGGCATCAGCCCACACACAATTTTCCAGCTTGAACTTTGAATGTTTCATACAAAATGAAAATAATGCAGTTTTATGTTTTATTCTAGGGATGAGGTGGTTGGCACCATTTTAGGCTTTGCTGAAGATGTGTGAATTTGATGTTTCCTACCAAATTAAAATATATTGAGGAAGTACTTAGTTTTTAGTTGACAATCATAAATCTCCTTTAAAAGCAAATCATGCCAAAAAAACATGGTCTATTGTCTGTAGGTTGATTTCCTCCTTCGTGGGTTGTTTGACCTGGACCATCAGTCCTCAAAATGGCCAACAGCTCTTGAAATCATAATTACACATTTGAAGGAAGACGAAACCAGCACACACAGATGGTTATCTGTCTGCATGCTTTCTTTTTCTTGCCTTCTGTTCTCTTTCTGAGATTGGAGAACCATTGATATACTTTCTCTTGTACTGAATCGAAGACACCATCATGCAGGAGATGGTTGGTAGATGTTCTTTCTCTGTACACTGGGATTGGTCTTGAGCTTTAATAGTTATTAAATGCAATTGTGCTGGGCCCTTGGAAAGCCAACTTTTATTATGTAAATTCATGACAGACAATTATTTTCCTGAAAGCCTTTCTCTGTCTGGATGTCTCTGTATTCTGAAAGGCTTTCTCCATCCAGGATATTTTCTGGTCTCATTAAAAAAAATCCTCCTTAACCTCTGTGGTTCCGCTAAAATATCTTCTTGCTTGACTTTCTTTCTTCCCCTTGTCCTTTCTTTTTTGAGATTCCCTTGGCACTTGTCATGTATATCCATTTTGGATGCTTGTTTACTGTTTTTTAATGCGTTCTTTTGCATGTGTTCATATCACCTTCTTAACTAGTCTATAAGTTCAGCAAAGGAAAAAAATGCTTTGCTCATTTTTATAAATCTCACTGTCTAACATGCAACAGTCATCTTGGAAATGATTTGTTAATGTAGTTCATGTGTTCATTAACTTTCATGTAGGACAAACCATGCGCGAGACCCCCTGTTAGGCATTTTCACCTCCACTGTCTAATTGAATCTTCCTAGGGACTCCAGGAAATAGACATTATTATAATTTTTAGGTGACAGAACTAAGCCACAAAGAGCTTCCCTGATGTCCCCAAGCCAAGGAATGGCAGAGCCGAATATAGTATAACTCCCAATCTAATATTTCTTCTGTAATGCCATCTTCATAATAAGTAGAATTATAAAAAAGTCCAGGAGGCGGGGATGCTTCCTTTTACAGGTAGGAAAGCCTGCTTAGGAAGTCAGTTCCTCAGGAACCCTGGAACCTGTTGGAGGTGCCCTCAGGGAATGACTGTGCAAGTTGCTGGCAAGCTCCCACACCCTGTTGGGGGCTAGAGACTCTTAAGAGTGTCTTTAAACTCTCTGCCCTGTTCTTCTGACTATAGTCTTGTTATGCTCACTGATATCCAGGGTCCTGATGGCCACAGGGAAAGAGAGTGGCTCTGAAAGCTCTTTTATTTTCCCTGGCATGGGATTCCTTTCACTTGATGCCCTTGTGTCCTTTGCACTGTTACACTGTAAGCTTTCTTCTAGACAGAACTAGCTGCAGGCAGAAAGGACAAAGGAGAACATCTGGCCCTGAGGACAGGAAGGCAGCTCTGCAGACACTGAACAGGGCTTTGAAATCCCTTGAGTCCACAGTGGGTGAGGAGTCTTGCTGCAAATGTGTATGTCCGTGCTCACAGAGCAACACTAAACCCAGGCAGCTGGGCTGCTGTGCCATCACCCGACTCTGTAGTTGAACAGGATTGCCTGGATGAGAATCCGCATGACTATACACAAGGAGAAATGTTGGTACCTAGCAAAGAAGCATTGTCACAAACGAGAAAACTTGGCTAACGTACTCTAGAGGTTTTTATAATTTCCCTTTGTTGGTCAATAAACCAGCCTTTGGCGGGGCGGGGGTTGGGATGTGAAAAATTTCACCCATACACAGCAGAGTTTCTCAGTGTCAAATGTCTGTCACAAATTTTGCTTGTGGTCATCTCTAAAGCCTACAATTTAAAAAAAAAAAAACAGTAGCAATTATCTCAACCAAAGTGCTATTGAGTGCACTTCCCAGTGGCTGATCCTCAGACTCCTTTCCCAATAATGTTTTCCTCGTGCAAAAAGCCCAAAGGAGCGTGTGCGCGGTTCTGAAGCCAAGAAGTCAACTCCGCGGAAAATTTGCATGCTGTAATTGAGTTGCCAGGAATACTCAAGACATAATTCTTCAGGCTTGTAATGATTGTGATTCCCTGCAACCTTCCAGGCGGGCAGTGGAAATGGCAGCCGGACTCCTCCGGGATCTTGTAACCTGGTTGTAAGATTGGGCCTATGCCATCCAGCTCTGATCCTCTTGTTTTCAGGAGGTTGTAGCTGGCCAGCCAACCCTCAGCCTTCTCCTCCTTTAAACTCCTACAGTTTATTATGCATTTGCAACTCCTTTGGACGTGGGGTGATGTGGTTGCCAAGCATGCTGGATTGAAATATTTAGTATAAAGGCATCTTATGATTACAGGATAAGTTCTTGGAGGGAAAGAACCCTCTCATACTTCTTTAGGTAAGCACTTAGTAGATGCTGGATACTTTTGAATGAATGAACAGAGATGGATTCTGCATTCCTTTAGAGTATTTTGAGAGCCTGTTTGGGATGTGGCCCTGTGCACCTGCATGACATATAGGTATGATTGGAGTGAAGTTAAGGAAGGAGCCAGTGTAGGACCCTTGTGGATAATTTTCACGAAAATTAGTTGGTCAGTCATTCCTGGTTGACAGATTGAACTTAATGTGGAAATCATTAATTATTGCATCTTTAAGCATTAGGGCAAAGACAAGAGCCTCTGCTCCTTGTGTGCCCTAATGCTCAAAGATGTAATGTGAGGATTTGTGTGTGTGTGTGTGTATATGTGGAAGGCTACATTGGATCTTGTCATTGCATTGCAGTGAAGTGACACACAGTTGATTCCTAACTTGGCGGAAACTTCCATCACTTTATCATCCCATTATGCTATATCTTGGGATACTTTCTTGTGTATTGGGGGATCCTTTTCTCTGATGCTATTTTTGGACCCTAAAATACTTCCCTCATAGAATATTTGACTATCCAAGGTTCAAGTATGCCCAGACAGTGAATCTTGAGGAGTAGAGGTGAAGAAGAGTTGGGGGAATGTTTCTTGGTATAATTTAGACTACAGGCAGGTACAAACTTTGTTTTGGAAATATTGGATTGACTGTCTCCATGGTCCTCAATCCCAGGGCCAATCAGAGGCTGAAAAACTGAAAAACTGAAATTTACCTCTGAAAGTTTCTCACCTCCCTTTCCATCTCCTGGCTGCTTCTCCCTATGATAACAGTTTCTCTAAGCAGGTGGCTAATTGCACAGATGCCCTCCTTACCCAGCCTCTTGTCAAAATCTGTGTCCTACAACTTTGGACAGTTGAGGTTACCTCAAGCTCAACTAGAGCCACTGGTGAGGCATAGCTTTAACAACAGGAAGTGCTCTTCCAGAGCACATGACAGAAGTGAATGTTGATTAAAGAGGTAGCAGTCCTAGGTGTTCTTCATGGGTCAGATCACATTTGTTCAGATCTGAGGAGCACCCTGTAAAAGGGGTGTTGTTTGATGAGGACATATCCAGATGAGGGTGGGACATCTAGGCTGATGACATATAAAGACAGTGTTCTAGGAGGAATGATGAAAGAATTGAACCTTTGAAGTCTGACAGAAGAGGCCGGAATGGTCCTAGAAGCTGAAGGTTAAGAGGTAAAGGTGATCCAGTTTAAATACCCCTTCTGGTGTTTGATTTTAAGTTTTATACCTTTCTGCCAGATGATCAACTGACTTGGTCTGAATACCTCCTATGGCAGAAAACTCACTATTCAGAACTCCAGAACATGGAGCTACCTTTAAATATTTCACATGGAATGGTGTAAAAACTCCAGAAGGCAGAATATCTGCAAGTGGGAAGGAATAAGGAAAAGTCATTCTGGTTCAGAGTCCAATGGACGCTGTCTTCTGCAGTATACATAATATATATTTATATTTATATTTATATATACATATGTATTTTGAAAGAAAATTCAGAATTATTTTCTGGTGTCATGTTCTGTCTTTCAGGATGCACGATGTGCATCTTCTTCCTGCCCGGAGTGAAGAGCATGATGACAAATGAGAAACAATCATTTCACACATCCTGGTAAAATAAATATTCTTTGTCGGAACAGCAGGTGATTAGATCTTCATTTTGATATATGCTGCAGTATCTTGAGAAATGAACTTGTAAGACCCAATTTCAAAGACAATGCAAATTTCCAGCCCAGGAATATGTTGAGGAGATTAGAAGCTTGTGTAAAGTATCGTAGAGGTGAACACACTCAGGGCACTTGGTCTTACATCAATGAATCCCATGAATGCAGATTCAAATCTGGGCACGTAGACTAAGGGTGCCTGATGGAATACTCATTTCTACCACTTGTGGTACCATTATTAGCTGTGACGTTTGCTGAAGCATTAATATGCTCAAGCCATCTCCCAGATGGAGTCATGGCTTGATTCCTATAAATGATTAATCTTGGGGAAGAAACGCTTGATTCAAAAACTAATTTGAGTAAACTTGCTAGTTCACAGAGTAACTTATGTAAGTGGGACATCAGTTATCGTCTGAGGTGAATAAGAATTAACATAAAATGCTTTGCCTGGAAAGCCTTTCCCCTGCCTTTCTCAGCAGAGCGCTCCTTTCTGCAAGGAGAGACAGAACAGTGTCCAGCTGAGAGCATAGCACCTGGAGCCAGGTGTCTTCTGCTTTGATACCAACTTTGCCACTTGTCAGCAGCATGGCTTTGGGCGAAGTACTTCATCACTCTGTACCTTGGCTTCCTAATCTGTAAAATGGGGATGATAATAATAGTACTTAACCTAGAGGCTTGTTATGGGGCAAAACATATTCTTACATTTATAGATAAGAAGACCCAGGCTCAGAAAGTCAAGTGTATTCCGGGTTCACAGAGCTGGGGAGTGAATGAATCTGATTTCAAACTTTAGACTGTCAGCCCTCCCTCTGTGCCATTCTTCGCTAGCACTGGCTCCCAAGCTTGCCAATCATGAGAGTCACCTGGAGGTCCTGTTAAAAACACAGATTGCTGGGGACCAGGAATCTGAGACATTAACAAGGCCCTAGGTGGTAAGATCTGGTGGTGGTGTACCAGCGCTCCTCAGCCCCTGAGCTTTTTCAGCTGGATGCCTGGATTTGTGTGCAAAGGTGTTTTGTTCCCCCTTTCCCATTCATGTGTTTCCAACTTCCCCCTTAACCAGCCTTTTCCTTTCCCACAATTTTCCCTGTGTTCTCCACTGTGCCTTTGAGAGTGCTGATTACTTAAATAATCTTCTCTCTCTCAGACTTTCTGGCCCTCCATGTGTCTCGTCATTTTGTTCAAACTGCCTGATAACCTAGCCTTTGCCTTTAAATGTCCTTGTATCTTCTTCCAGCTGACCCTTTGTTCTTTCGTTGTTACTTTCCCTCCCACTTTTCTTTTCCTTTAGGTTTCTCAGAACCCTTGAGATGACCGCAGATGGTATTTTGTATGCAACACTGTAATGAAAACTGTAGTATAAATTATTTTCAGAGTACAGTATGACATTATGAAGTCAATATTATTTATATTAAATGTATATAATTTTACTAAAGAGAAAATAACTGCTATATATTAGACTGAAAGTGATTATATTTTAATCTAAAAACCAAAGTGAATGTAGTAAGCCCTGCTAATAGACAGCCATGCCTACGTAATTTCTAGAGGGTCACCTCTTTGACATGCTGTTTCAAGGCCTGTATTGTCTTCTTTTGGCAATGCCTGGATTTGGAACTTTGGGTCATAGCTGCAAATCCCAATTTCCTACAAGGCCAAATAATGGTTCAAAAAACAATATTCCACCGAGTAACCTTGATTTCTGCAACCGTGTAGGTCAGAGTCAAATGCCCTTATTTGATGGGATGACAAATTGGTTCAAGGACTTTGGCCCGCAAGCTACCACTCAAGGAGACAAGCCTGGATTTGATGCACAAATGAGCAGTTGTGTGTGCTATTGCGGTCTGAATAAATGGCATTCAGAAGCACTAAATTGCTTGCATACCCAGGAAAGGAGAAATAATTGGGCAAATGAAGTTTGTAGCTGGTTATTTACACACCAATATGGATTTTTCAGTTGAGAGGCATATAATTATTACAGGTCCAGTGGAGGATTTCTTGGAGAATAGGAATTATGTATTTTCATGAATAATCATATCAGTCTCTTATATTCCATTGTCACTACACATTTCTTGCATTTATTATACTTCTCAAGGTATATCTGAGCAAAGCTTATAAGATAAACTACTTGCCTCAGGGATCCATAATGTTTTGGTATTTTGAGAATGTATTAATTCAATATTTGTATGGGCCCTAGGCATTTTAAGGAATGATTCAGTTCAAAATGGTTTTGTTAGAATGATTGAGGAGGTATAGTTCAAAGATTGAGGTTAAGTTCCATTAACTGTGTGACCTTGAGCAACTAAGTCACTTCAGTTGTCTAAATACCATTTTCCTTCCCTACAAAATGGAATGCTGCCTATCTCGCTGAGTTGTTGAGATAACGATGTATCATTGCAACCAAGATTGACTGGTGAACTTAAAAGCCCAGCACTAGGTTATCATTGTTTTATGTCTGGTGGAAAGGCCAGCTATTTAACATTGCTTGATTCATGTTGACTGTACTTGCACTGGGCTACCTCTGCTAAGGGTGTCTGTTGGGACTTGGGAAATTTGATGTGATTGAATTGTGAGGTGATATTATCACATGCTGAAAACAGAGAACAGCCCAGTCTTTACCACTTGGTCATGACTGATGCTCATGATGGTGCTGACTAGTTAGAATGTCAACGCTAGAGTCATCTCCTGGGGCTTCAACCATCTAGCAGATAGCTCATAGCCTAGTCTTTCCCAAATGGTTTTGCAAAGAATTCCAATTTTTTGGAAGCAGAATTCTATGGCCCAGCAAGTTTGGTAATTGCTGTATGCACTGGCTCCCTCTTAGAGCTAGCACTGTAAATGCGTGTGTGTGATACAAGTTATGCTGTCTAAAATATAGATACTATCCCCATCTGGCTATTTAACTACAAACTAATTAATAAAATAAAAAATTCAGTTCCTCCATCACACTAGCTACATTTCAAGTGCTTAACAGTCGCATGCGGATTATGGATGCCGTATTGGAAAGTACATACATAGATATTTCCATCATTGCAGAAAGTTCTGTCGGACAGTGCAGAAAAGGCTCTGAGACCTCCTGCAGCAAAATTACTTATTTAACTTTGCTCACTTCTCAAGCCTTTTAGTACCTAGTAGAGTTGCCATTCTCTAAGACTGTTTAGAAGATATTGCTTGGCATCCTTGGAGAGATGAATTTTTCTGGGTATGGTGTTCTAGGAACCTGTTCTGCAGCTCCTATATCTTTGCAGCTTTTCAAATCCTGCTTCTGTTACTACCAGAGTCACATTTAGTTTTGGTATTCTCAAAATACCAAAACATCCATGTTGAAAGAGAATTATTTTGCTATTATAAGACATCCCCTCATGTTTCATATCTCTGTGAAATCTTCCAATAGCCAGTGTTCCCTCTATTATAGACACAGAACTTCTGGGTTGGAAGAAATCTTAGAGAGCATATAGTTCAATTTTTTAAAATTCTTATTTTTCGGATAGGGTCTCACTCTGTTGCCCAGGCTGGAGTGTAGTGGCATGATCATGGCTCACTGCAGCTTTGACCTCCTGGGCTCAAGTGATCCTCCCACCTCAGCCTCTCAAGTAGCTGGCACCACAAGTATGTACCACCACAGCCAGATAATAATTTTTTTAAAAATGTTTGTAGAGACAAGGTCTCACTATTTTATCCAGGCTTGTCTCAGACTCCTGGGCTCAAGTGATTCTCTCACCTCAGCTTCCCTATGTGATGGGATTACAGGTGTGAGCCACTGCACCTGGCCTAGTGCAATCTTATTTTGCTTATGAAACAACTGAAGATCAGAAAGATTATATGATTTTCCCAAGGTCACTCAGTTAATAAATAGGACAGTTCATGCTCCAGATACCTATTTTTTACTAAGGCTGTTAGTTCATCTTATCTGAAAAAAAAGCAATTATTAATGGACTAGGATTGTGTTAATAATTGTGTGAGTTTTATTTCTAGTGTGAAATCTTGCCTATCTTCATGAATAAATGTCCTCTGTATTTCTTAGGCTAATATGTATTTGCAAGTTCTGACTCCACAGAATCCATGGTGAATACATCACTCATCACTCCATTCCTTCCCACTGCTTTATGAGAAAGACTTTGATGATTTTCAGCAAGCAGCCAATAATATCTGCTTGAATTTGCATCTACTTTTGCACTCCCTTAGCACTCCTTTGATTACAGATTCTAGCTAGACCCTATCTGCTCTTCACTTTTTGCAACATGGAATGTAAAAGTGGGTGAAAATTGCAATCTTTAAAATTAAAGAAAAATTGTACTCCTAGTGGTTTATAGAAAGGTTGACATTTGCTGTGAAGGGTTCAGTTCCAAGGTTCAGGTCAGATATGGATTTCTGTGCTCCCCACCATGGAGAGGAAGGTACCACATGGGGATGCCACAAAGGTTGGAAAAGGAAGATGGTTGTCTGTCAGGGTAATGTCCCAGGAGAAACTGCCCTATTACGGCTGTGATCTGGAACGAATATACTTCTGGCACCTTTGCTAGGATGTCAGTGGGAAAGTCCCATTAGTCATCTTTGCCAGATGGGGGCTTCCGGACACCTCCGCATGGCCGTACATGTCTGTATTAATAAAAACAGTGAAGCCACAGGGGTTGTGGCCACACATGTCTCATCCTGTCGACCCTCTGGCCCTGCGAGGATTACAAAGAGGGAAATAAGTCATGGAGCCTGATCTTTGAATGTTTTTACTTTTGAAATGTGGGAAATGTTATGTTCACCATTTCTCTTGGGATATATCTCCAGAGAATTTTGAGCTTTAAAGGCAGAGCCCACTTTAGGCTACCCTAGAAGCTCTGAAAGAGGTGCCTTTCCAGTGGATTCTTATAAGCTCTGATGTTTGAGAATTACTGCTTTGAAGAAATCACTCATTTTCTCAGGATGTCATCAGCCAAGTAAAGAGTAATGCAACTTAATTGACATCAAAAAGAATGATGCTGTTATCTGTGTTTTGACTTCACTGAATTCAGACTTTGCTCTTCTTCATATAGAAGCTGGTATGAATATCCTGGTTAATGACCCTGCATGACAGAGAGAAACCCGTTTTGTTTTTCTTCTGCCTGCTTGTGGTGTCCCTCTCTGTTCTGTTACACATAACCAGAATCAGAGAAAATTCTCATTCAAGATACAACCCAGAGAGTAAAGTCCCCTGAACCTTTACTTCCACAGGACACTCCACGGGCAATGATTAGATGTTAGAGTAAGACCTGAAATGCACGTCCAGGACCAGACCCCTTGCTCTGTTCTCTTCTGCTCTCTCCTGCTCCATAGAGGCGACGTGGTTGTTAGTGGAGTTTGTTGTTATGGATGGATTTGGTTAGTAGGAGCTGCTGTGGTTTGAATGTGTCCTCAAAAGTTCATGAGTTAAAAATTGAATTGCTGGCTGGGTGCGGTGGCTCACGCCTGTAATCCCAGCAGTTTGGGAGACTGAGGTGAGTGGATCACCTGAGGTCAGGAGTTGGAGATCAGCCTGGCTAACATGGTGAAACCCCATTGCTACTAAAAACACAAAAAATTAGCCAGACGTGGTGGCAGGCACCTGTAATCCCAGCTACTCAAGAGGCTGAGGCAGGAGAATCACTTGAACACAGGGGGCAGAGGTTGCAGTGAGCAGAGATTGCACCATTGCACTCCAGCCTGGGCAACAAGTGTGAAACTCCATCTCAAAAAATAAAAATTGAATTGCCATTTTAACAGTATTAAGGGGTGGAGCCTTTAAGAGGTGGATGAGGTCATGAAGGCTATGTCCTCATTAATGGATTAATGCTGCTATTTGGGTTAATTATCTCGGGAGTGAGCTTCGATAAAAAGTTAGCTTTAGCCCCAATGCTCTCTCTCTGTCTCTTGTGCTCCTGCCATGTGATGCCCTTCTATCAGTCATGGTGTAGCAAGAAGGTCCTCACCAGATGTAGCCCCTCAATCTTGGACTTTCAGCCTCCAGAACTGTGGCCAAATACATCTCTTCTCTCTATAAATTACCCAACCTGTGGTATTCTGTTATAGCCACAGAAAATGAACGAAGACAAGAGCCTATCTGGTTGCCTGGATCCAGAGGTTTATCTGCAGTAGATGTAGTCCTCCTCCAAAAGGAGAACCTGAGTATAGAATAGACAGCCCCAGGAAAAGAGGCAGGAGACCAGAGTCCTACCTCTGACTCCCCAGTCAGCCAACTGGTAGTCTTGGACATGTGTGTTCAAGTCTCCGGGCCTCTCTTTCTTCATTTGTAAAATGAAGTTGGTGGTAGTGGTGCCAGTTAAACTGGATTTATTAAATCCAGTGGCTTCTTTGTCATTTTATTCTATTTATCAGCTGTAGCATTTGATATTGCTGTCCATTTTCTCCTTAAAATGTTCACCTTTTTTGCTTTTGGGCCACCGTTTTCATATTGGTTCAACAAACATTACTGGATTAGGCATTGCCCTGGGGAGGGAGACTACACGTTAGACAGTTTTTGCCTTTGAGGTACCCACAAGATATGTAAACACCATTTAACAGTTTTTTTCTCTCTCTCTGACTGCTCCTTCCTTCAAGTCTCTATTTACTTCTTCAATTTTGTCTTTGTTCTATAACTGTCTTCAACTTCTCTGTATATCCTTGGAAAATGGTACTCATCACCCTGGTTTCAACTACCATTTAGATGTTGTTGATAAAAAAACAATCTCTCTTTAACCATGATTCACCCTCACCCACCCTTGAGTTATGAAGTTTTATTTTATATCTGCGTCCTGGTCATTTTTATCTGGGAATCCCTCTGGGATCTCCCTTTCAAAAAGCCATAAACCAAACCCATTTTACTCTGATCCACTGCTTTCCTTCTGCGGTTAAAACCCACTCCTCCTGAATTTCTGATCTTGATTCAGGGCATTGCCATCCATTAAGTCACTCAAATTAGAAACCTCTAATGTGTACCTCTAATTAGTACACAACTAATTTGAGTTGTGTACCCCTTCCCTTTCCTCGCATCTGGCTGGGCACACAACTTTCAGAATACACTTCTGATAGATTCTGATTGGCCTGTGTCCCCTTCTTACTATTATTCCCATTACTGCCCTAGTAAGGGCCCAGATAAGTGCTCATTGGGATAGCATCAATTTTAAGATGTCTATCACATTCCACATTTTATCATCTTTAAAACCAGGAAACATCTTACAGGCAGCAGTCATGAGGTGGACACCATGGTCTGTGCGTGTGCATGCAGACTTGTAGAATGGACATCAGGCACTTGGAAGAGAATCCCAGAAACAATGGTGGAGCTTTATAAAAATACAGAATGCTCCCTCTATTCACATTCTAGGTAACTTTTGAGTGGACAGTGCTTTAGAAGAGTCAGATTCTGAATAGAAAACAAATATTAGAAATACATTGACCAAATTACTTTACTTGTATGTGCAAGAGTGATATATGATAAAAATCTGACAGTATAAGCATAAAGGAGCCCTTTTAGTAAGTACAAAATACAAATTCTAAGTGATAAGAAACATTATGTTATTGTTTAATTGGCAGACGTTTTCTTTCTAGAGGTGAATATAATAGATGACATCATCAATGACATTCTTAGACTTGAAACAATACAGATAAAATACAAAAATCTCTAATCAATCAATACTCTGATTACTCTTTTCAGGCCCTCCCACCTTCAGTGTCTTCTCTTCTGATCCATTTTTCATGTTGCCTTTGGCACGTCCAGGTCTGATTATATAATTCCAATACTTAGAAATATTCTGTATGGCAGAGGTGCATCAGAGTCACCTGGAGGGCTTGTGAAAACATAGGTCACTGTGCCTCAGCCCCATAGTTTCCGATTCCCGAGGCCTGGGCTAGGGCTGGGGAGTCTGCATGTCTAAGAAGCTCCTGGGTGAAGCTGATGCTGCTGACTGCTCAGCAGCCACACTTGGAGAACCACTGCCCTTTGGTATAAAGTCCAAACTCCTTTATGGCATTCAAAGCTGTTCCCCGAGGGTTCCCGCTGTACATCTGCAGCATCAATTTTCAGTGTTCTCACACACTGTATTCTCCATCATGCTTGGAACTCCCCATTCAGAGCACAAAGGGCACTTCTTTATTCTGTGATTTTTTTTTAAACACTGTCTGATAACTCCTAAAAATTATTTGACTTTTAAGATACAGTCCAATGAACAAATTCTTCAGCAGAAAATATTTCTTTTACTTATCTTTCCCAAAGAGGTAAATTTCAGGATGTTTATCTATTAAGATCAACTTCTAAGACAGCTAAGCTTACTGCTCAGGCTTTTCCAGTAATTAGAAAGATATTCTTTGGGGACCATCAGGTCACAAAGTTTGACGGGGTTTTCCAATTTTCTGGATTATCAATTTGGCAATCATCCCTACACTAAACACAGAATTTATTATGAGTCAATGGAGTCATTATTATGACAATTTTAAATATTTATAAGATGTTGTAAATATATATA